CGCTCTCGAGCACAAACCTCACCAGGAGGTGATCTGACCATGACAGGGGAGTCAAACATAAGTTCTTCACCCTCAGGTCATCCTCTACCTGCCCCGTCGTGAATACCAGGTCCAGAGTGTGTCCACGTTCATGGGTAGGGCCAGTGACGTGTTGAGACAGGCCCATGGCCATCATAGAGGCCATGAAGTCCTGAGCCGCCCCGGTCAGTCCAGACTCGGCATGGAGATTGAAGTCCCCCAGGACCAACATCCTGGGGGTCCTCAACACCAGATCCGAGACGGTCTCTGTCAGCTCAGATAGGGAGACTGCTGGGCAGAAAGGTGCACGGTACACCAATAGAATCCCCAATCTGTCTCGTTCACCCAACACCAAGTAGAGGCACTCCAGCCCTGGTCTCAAAGGGACCGGAAGACCCGTGAGAGAGATGGAGGCTCTGTAAACCAACGCGACTCCCCCTCCCCTCCCTTCTGGGCGTGAACAGTGTTGAACCAGATACCCGGGCGGGCACAACTGGGAGAGGGCAACATCCCCTCCCTCTCCCGCCCAGGTCTCCGTTATGCAAGCCAGGTCGGCCTCCTCATCCACAATCAAGTCATGGATGAGGGAAGATTTATTATTGATCGACCTGGCATTGAGCAGCAGCACCGTCAGACCCGAGGGGTGGTTGACAAGGCTACCTGGCGCCCTCTGGTTGGGGGCAGGATCAGAAGGAGGGACAGGTGTCAGCCATCTGTCCATCCTTCTTCTACGTGGACACGTTAAGCCCCTATTGTTGTAACGACCATTGCCCATGACCACGCCAATAGCAGCCCCCGTGGGTTCCCCAGGATATATAAGCGTCGACATGGCCAGGAATGACTCAAAGCACTAATTAAAGCAGGGTAAGATTATAAAGTAGGTCGAAGGAGGAGAAAAAGAACGATAAAAAGAAAAAAAAGAAAAAGGGGATCCTTCCTCTTCCCTGAGAATCAGCAGTAGGCAAGCCTATTTCAACAAGAGTCCATGGCCAGCCCAGCCCCCCTCTAGTAAGCTCATTCCCCCCACCCCCTCTTGGGTTGCTTGAGACTTGAAAGTCATATATTCCCCTAAGCAGGGCTTTTTTTGTCATGGAACGCACCAGAACGGAGTTTTTTCAAGTGATTTTGAACTGCATAGCAGATCAGCAGCAAACATCATTAACATAGTGCCTGCAGGCTGCTATTGTGTCTGCATAACATTGTGTTTACATAATATGTAAATATGCAATGTGTAAATATGTAAATATGTAATTATATGTAATATTGTGTTTACATATTAATAATAATAATTAGAGGATTAGGAGGATTTTTTACTTAAGAAAGTATTGTAACAGATACTGAACGAACAAAATCATTCTAGTATGGTGATCAGACAGGAGCTTCACAAACATGGAGTAACTCTCTTACTAAGGGAGATGACTAGTAAATTTGTATCTCTCTCTCTCTCTCTCTCTCCTCCTTCCTTTGCCATAGGGATTTTTCAAATGGCTTTCTAATTGCTGAAATATTCTCATGGTATTACCCAGAAGACATTCAAATGCATTGCTTTGAAAATGGGACCTCTCTAGCTGTCAAACTCAGCAACTGGTCACAGCTTGGAAAGGTGGGATAATCCAATTATGAATTTCAGATAAATTTTGTATTGTTGACAAGAGACAAGAAAATGGAAGCTTCTTTACTGTCTCTTTGAATTACTCGTGACTGATAGATAATGCATGTTATTTGTGTGGGGGTGCATGTGCAGAAATAGGATTTCTACCAAATAACTAGTTGAATTATTTTTCAATACTAATAGTGAATAAAGACAAGTACCTCAAAACCAATCTTTGAGGTAGGTGCCTTTTCGGTATGGGCCCAGTGAAACTTCGCAGATCAATAGGATTGTGCCTATAACTTTGTTGTTCAGATTTTGTGGGCTACACAGTTTGCAGCTCATTTATTTATTTATTTGGTTTTTATCCTGCCATAAAGCTTCCTTGGCGGGTCATATATTGCCAGGTATATGATATTCATGTCCTTGCTTTGTGGGAGAAATGTACATCTTTAATTATCTAAAGGCAAGAAGTGGAATTTATACTTCTGAAGGAGGCTTTCTTTCCCCTTCATTAAAGTTCTTTGCAAAAAGAAACCTGAAGCCCATACGCGAGCTAATTGATGGGACAATTCATTGTAAACCTGGAGCTGCAGAAGTATTTGTACAAGACATTTATACAATGCTGACAAACAGGCGGTAAGTCTTTATATGTTAATGTTGCCTTTTAATGCATAACTATTGCTGGTAATTTTTGCTCTGTGAGGGTTTTTGAATAATGGTATATTTGCAGTTCTGTAGAAATCAAAGCCTTACCGTTAATATTTAAGGCCCTAAACAGTTTAGGACCAGGTTATCTAAAGGACTGCCTCTTCCCATATGTACCTACCTGGATGCTTAGATGGTCATCCAAAGCCCTTCTCAGAGAGCCTCCACTGAAGGAAATGGAAAGGGTGGCTATGAGAAGAAGGGCCTTCTTGGTGGCAGCACCCCAACTTTGGAATCAGATCCCCAGAGAGGTTTACCTGGCGCCTTCTCTCTACCCCTTTCAGTACCAGGCAAAATCTTTTTATTTGCCCAATATTTTAATAGTTTAAATAATTTTAAGGAGAAATTTTATATAGCCAAGTATTCTTTTCTTTTTTTAGTTTTACTATATAAAATACAACTAACCTTCCTTACAGTTAAAATGATAATATATAACATTCAATATACAGTAAAAATAAATCATAAAAATACTGTGCAGCCAAGTATTGTCCCTACTCCATGGCTTGTAGACCTTATTTATTTATTTATTTTACTTAATAAAGGACCTATATTTTTCCAAGTTTGCACAGTTCCTACCTGCAGGCTCACAGTCTTATTCAATATCATGAGATGAAACAGGGAGAAGAAAGCAAACAAATTGGGACACTCTTTTTTGAAGCTTAATAATCTCAGTAGTATCATCTGACCTGGACAGGTGGGCCTCTTTGCCTTTAAGTACTTATACATACCAACATTCCTCAACCCTTTGGTCCATGACAGAAACAGGATGGTTCCTGTGTTTGGTCTGCCAGGCTAGAAGCCCTCTCTGAAATGCCTCACTAAGAATGAAATTGTAATGGAAAGTGGTTTGAGAGAGAAATGCTATTATTAGTATGCTCTCTAATAATTGAGAGCCAGTGTGGTGTAGTGGCTAAGAGCATGGGACTGGGACTCAGACGATCCGGGTTCTAGTCCCCGCTCAGCCATGGAGCCAACTGGGTGACTCTGGACCAGTCACAGACTCTCAGTCCAACCTACCTCACAGGGTTGTTGTTGTGGGGATAAGATGGAGGAGGACAATGATGTAAAGCTGTCTTGAGCCCTTTGTAGGAAAAAGGCAGGATATAAATTGAAAAATAAATACATAAATAATAAATAGTGGGCCAGAGTGTTCTACACTGACTGGATTCACATGATTATGGAGAGGGAAGGAAAATACATTGGCTTGTTTCCCCCAGTGCACACGCCAGTTCCATGCAAGGGAATTTGCATAATCACCTTCACTGGCATGGCTTGCTATGTTGTAAAAACCTGGTGAAGGTGGCTTGTTACCAACCAACCAAAAACGTATGGGCTGTGTAGGGTTCTGGGGTGGCTTATTAACCATGGGAGCATAGCAAGGTTTCCTTTTCAGGTTTCCATCCTGCACCAATGTTTCCTTTTTAATTTTGTGAGCGCACAAGGGTTTGGATAGGCTTGCTGTTGAGAGTCAGAAAGGAAGGGTGAATGGTGCTGGAATATCTTTTTCAAAGATATCCTTTCTTCAAAAGGATCAACAGCATCAAGCATAGTCCCATACCACTGTTCTGGCACTACATTTTTGCCTTTATTTGCTAGAAGCAAGTGGGGCAGAATTCCATGGTTCTCTGTGTGTCAGCTGTTATTTAATTTCAGTAGCACATTCAACTGTTTGGAATGCTGCAGTGAAAGTAGCTCCTTAGGTCTGAGCAACTTAGCACTTTCTTACAGAATTCCATTTGGTTATTCCATGTAAGAAATACAGTAATGTCTAACAGTTTTTGGTTTTTGAAAAGTCAGGCAAAACAAATGCAGTACGTACAATTATCCCTCCTTCTAGGATAAAACACAGTCGGGATGAAGAGATTGACTTTACAGATCGTATTTACCAGGAAAAGTTACCAATGGTTGCTAGATCAACTGCTTCAAGGGCTATTAAAACCAACATTAAGCTAACAGAGCTAATGGTGGAGCCTAATATTGACAAAAACAGGCAGAAGGTTAATGCGATCATCAACATGCACATGCACCGAAGGCTGCTAGACAGAGAACAAGATCCAGGTGAGTGGCTCTTTCAAAACATTGTTTGGAAAACAGAATTGCAGTGTGCTATAACTAAGCCTCTAAATTTGGCATTCCCTCCAAACATACACTGTTTTATGCAACAAATGCTAATTGTTGTGCTGTCCCCCACGAATGTGTACAGATACATGTGTGTGTGTGTAGTTAATACCCACAACCACCTACATTGTCTCTTCCACTCTACACGTAAGCTAAAGTTTTGTGCTACAAATCGTGAGTTTTGTGCGGTCACCCCAGGCATAAAAATTGCATACCTAGAGATATAGAGTCTTGGCAAACCCCAAAAAAGCCATTTTGTTGCTTCTGTTCTCCAAGCCTTTGCCCAAGTTTTGTGCTAGCATGTGACTATTCAGTGACATAACATTATTTTGGGTAATGTCATGGAATAATAAAGACTATTTGCAATGTATGGCTGTGAAAGCTGGACCATAAGGAAGGCTGAGCACCAAAGGATTGAGGCCTTTGAATTGTGGTGCTGGAGGAGACTCCTGTGAGTCCCTTGGACCGCAAGGCGATCAAACCGGTCAGTCCTAAAGGAGATCAGCCCTGACTGCTCTTTAGAAGGCCAGATCCTGAAGATGAAACTCAAATACTTTGGCCACCTAATGACAAGGAAGGACTCCCTGGAGAAGAGCCTAATGGTAGGAACAATAGATGGCAAAAGAAGAGGGGGACGGCAGAGGATGAGGTGGCTAGATGGAGTTACTGAAGCAGTTGGTGTGAGCTTAGGTGGACTCCGGGGGATGATGGAGGACAGGAAGCCCTGGAGGAATGTTGTCCATGGGGTCATGATGAGTTGGACATGACTTCGCGACTAACAACAACAATAACGACTATAAATCCATATGACACAAAATAGCGTTTGAAATAATATTTGCTATGATTCCTTTATCTAAAATGCTTAGCCAACAAGGTAAGTTGCAGTGGCTTTTCACAACACAATCCTATGCATATTTGCTTAGTAGGAAGCTTCACTTTGTTTGATGTAGCTTGCTACCTAGTAAGATAGCACAGTCACAAAGACAAAGTGACACAAATGGAGCAGGATTCTTTGGGTACAATATCAACTTTTGCATCAGTGATAATCATTGTCTGCTTTCACTGGAGAAACCTCACAGGGAAATGCAGAAATGGGCCACTGAAATGCAGATCTACCTTCATAGTTGTCAATATATTTATGGTACTTATGTGGGCCAAGTCTATGTACCATCACTTGAAAATAAGTCTTACTGAGTTCACTGGAGGTGTTCTCTCTCATCAGCATCCACACAATCCCATTCTGAATGTTTGAAATTATGTATTGCAATATTTCTGAACAAACTTAATTTTTTGAACATATATTTGCTGTTTCTCTGATTAACAGAACTCAAACAGAAAAAAAAACTTTTTCAGCAAAGAAGTGCAATAAGGGGACAGTTTTGCCAGTTAACGTGTTTGCCTGTTAAAACTCCCTGTCAATTAGTTGTTAAATGCCCAAGAACCCAACCAGGCATCGCTTCATCAAATTCCCTTAGCTTCCCATTGATTTCACTGTAAAAAGTATATTTTGAAGACACATTGCAAGCATGAGTGGCTCTCACTGAGATGCTCTTGGGATGAACTTGGCTCCATATATTAAGTTTATAGCTTAATCTTGTGCATACTTGCTCAGATGTGCATCTCAGCTGAGCTTACTCCCAAATAAATGTGTAGAGGATTGCTCTTTCAGCTCTGAATGATAATTGGGGAGCACACGCCCAGTCATGTACTGAACTGAAGTCTGAAAGGCCTCTGTGGATTAAAGGGAAACCTATTGAAGAATTTTATTTAGATAGAATATTTGTGATGAATGGTTCAGAAATCTGGACACAGAAAGAAAAGCCACCTGGGCCTATTTCTAATCTTTCTTGCTGCACCATCCAAGGAGAGTGGATGCATGAGCGAAGGTAACTTTTTCATGGGGAAAAAACAAGTGAGCACTTAGGCAACAGCAGCTGGTCCTTGCAGCTAAGAGAAAGACTTGGGTGGAGGAAATGGTTGTTCCGTGCATGAGCACTTGATGAAGCAGGTGGTGGTAACTGCTGGCACTTTTTCTAGGCAGGTAGTATAGGACCAGTCCTCCCCACTATGATACTCAGAGTGAGCAACAAAAAGGAGATAGGCGCAGTTGCTGCATTTTCTCACTTGTATACTTCTTCACCCATCTATGCCATAGTGGCAGAACTAAGAGGTGAAGCTGGTGGTGGAGGGAGAGTTTCTAGACTTGGGGCTCTCTTCCTTGTATTTACAACCTTGCTGCAGGGCCATGGAAAGAAGCTAATGTGATTTACTTCAGCTTGCAATTTGCATGAAGAAGTGGTTTCATAAGCACCTGTGTGTACACACTCCACAGATACTCTTTGTAATACATGATAGGGTTGTTTCATTCTGCTGGCAGAAAGCTTTTACTGTATGCAGACTTGTTCGTATTGTTTGACAAATGTAAAATCTTACGCTGTGATTATTCTTGTGCAAACCATTCCACAAACTCTTCCACAAGTCATTTAACAACTCATTACAGCTTTTCTTGACTGAAAGTTGCTTGTGGTTGTTGTGCTACTGGTGGTGATTAATGTGGCAGAAAAACTCTGACTTTCTCAGAGAGGTCTATGTGGGATGTGTAGCATTCACCAGGGCCATGTCATGGCCATCCCATGTCATTTCCATGCTTGGGATGGTGGCACAAACCTGAGGCTTGTAACATAATATAGGAACAAGTCTTTGGCATAGGTTTGGAGGGGTACTGAATTGGTGGGTTTATAATCAACACCTCATGTCTGCTATGTTTTATGTAGGATTTTCCAACTGTCAAAACCTGGAAAATTCTTGACCCCCATAACCCCTGGCCAGATGTCTAGTAAGAGCTTGTATAAAAAAGAATTAATTTTAATTTAGTTAATTTACCTGCATAAATCAGCTTGATCTCTGAGGTCATTTGGAATGGCATATTTATTCAGGGTACATCAGGTGGAAACTGAGGAGAGGGCCTCCTCTGTGGTGGCATGCAGATTGTTAAACTTGGTGTCCTAGGACATCCATCTAACTCCTGCTGTGTTATGTTTTTGCTGCCTTTGAATGACTTAAAAATAAAAAACACGTTTTTAGTTTTGGCTAGCTGAATATTTATCTGCATTGTTGGATTGGTTTTTCATTTTCTCTTTACCGTGATATTTTTCATCTTTTTAATTGTATTAATGTGACATATAGATTTAAATAATTTTTTTTCTGAACTGTTTGAATACTGTACAGTACAAAGGTATGGGCAAATCCTATAAGCAAAAAGTAGTGCCATCATGTATCTATCTATCTTGCTACATCGTGAAGAATAGAAACTGGTTTGTTCATTGAAATATGCTGCATGCACATCCATCAGACTCTAGATCATTCCAGTGAGTATCACCCATCACTTTATGCTCTAGGTGTAGTTTTGTCCTTAATAAAGCATTTTTTCTTTCACAAGTATTAATAAATCTTGCAAAAAGAGTATATACTTTAAAAATGACATGGTATGCTTGTCACTTACCCCTTTTTTTCCCCCTTTCAAGCACGTTTTGATATTAAACCAACACTGGGTGAACGAGCTGTTCGTCGTCCTTCTGTTTTGGCTCCTTCCTTGAGTGCAACTAATCTTCAGAAGGAGAAATCTATTCCTGCGCCAAGCAGTAAGCATTCTTTTTCAGATTTGAAAGGTTAAGGCTACAGTCCTGTTCACATTCCTTGTATGTATATCCCACTGAACATAGTGAGACTTATTCCAAAGTTAGCATTCATAGTAGTAGACTGCATGGAGACAATCTTAATGAACACTTGTCTGGGAATAACTTGCATTGACTTTTGAGAAACATTCGACTGAACATTTTATTCCTATTAAATATTTTTAAAATATTGGCCTTTGTCCAGATATATAGCACTCCATCTTTTACTATGACTTCCTTGTGGAAAAGGCCATATGTTTCATCTAAACCTTTTTCATGTTACAAATCTATCCTTGGGGACAAAATGGTTTAGAAATATGTTCTGTGTTTTTATTTAAAGGTTTCCTCCTTTGAATAAAAACAAATCTAGGACTATAAAACAAGTTTAATTGATTTTAAACCATCTTAAATCACTGCTTAAATTTAAGTAAGTGTGCAGATCACAATATACATGCCTTTTGGAGATACAAACAGTATCTTACACTACCCACCAAGAAAAAGTGAGTGAGCAAGCGTCCACCTCCTTTTGCTTCATCACACAAAGAAAAAGGATGCAGGCAAGGTGCTTACCTTTGGTGAGTGAGACAGGCAGCACAGAGGAAGCTGCTGCCATGCCATCCAGTTGCTTTTCACCCCTGCTACCCACATGTAGGAGGGGTTTCACTCGGTTCCTTGTGGAGGGTGGCACAGATCCTTTCTGCAGCACTGCCCAGCTGACCCCACTTTGCCTGAGTGTGACTTGAGCAGTCCCTCTGGAGCATGAGGGGAGGGTGCCTAACTAGCTCTGTCCTTTCTGCTGTGCCCCAGGAACTGAGCCCTATTTGTGCACCGGAAAGTGCTTGACAGCCCCAGTGATCTCGACACAGCTCATGATTGTGGCTTTCAAAAGAGCAGCCTCATTCTTCACTGCTTTGCCTTCTGGGAGACCATCTGGAAGAATGAGATGGAATTAAAATGCAGATGGGAGGAGAGTTACCAACATGAGCCTGATCATCTTTCAGGCACATCCATGCAAAAAACCAAGCATGCTGGAAACAGCAGGATTTCTTCCTGTGACATGTAGAACCAGCCTTGAGTGAGGGTTTTCTGGTCTTAACACTACCTGTATAGTAAAGAGGAATGCAAGCAAAGAGGAAAAGGCTTTATCCACTCCTTGACTCAGTTTGGAAACTCATGGAAGCTCAGTTTGTTGTGATATGTTTACACCATAAAGATAGATATTAACACCAGCTAATATCCATAGAATATACCACAGCTAAAGGCACAGGAGTTAAAATCATCAACATAGTATTGTTGACACCTTGACCCTAAATATTCTGCTTTCTCAGACATTCCACTACAGTAATTCCAACAATAGCTTATAATTTTATAAATGAGTATCATAACATGTTGCTAAAAGGTTTTTTGTATGTTACTGCAGTTAATACTTTTCTTTTTCCTGCCTAGGTACACCTTCCACAGAAATCAGAGGCAAAATGGGTGTTCATTTCAAAACCATCCAAGTGAAGCAAGCTGAGAGATGCCCTTTTGATGCTAATAAAAATGTCTAGGCACCCATTCTAAAGACTGTAATGAGAGAAAAAAGAATCAAAGCTGCTTTTTACCACAACAGATGCCTTACGGCCAGGTTTTTCTAACGTATTGAGGAATATGTTGCCTTACCGATACGCTCAATAAACATTAATGCTGAGACAATACATAACTTGACATTGATACAGGCTTAAGGAAACCACATTAAAGGATTACTGATTTTTACATTTCCCTTTACTCACATTAAAATGGAGATGTTTTCTAAATAGCAGTTTGTATCTAGCCGAGTACTGTTGTGTGTTTAATAAAACCTATCATTGGGTAAGCAGAGTCTCATTGTCAAGCAGTTGGGTTTTATAACAAATGTAAGAATATGTTCTGTTTTGAATATACCTATCGCATGAAAATGCCTATAAGTAATAGCTGTATGGCAACATTACTAATGAATGAGATTTAGGAAATATTTTTAAGTCAGGTGAATCAGATCTAGAAAATACACAATTTCAGGCTTAAACCAGTTCTTTCAAGCCAGTATGAAAAAACAGAGGTACCCATTACTTTCGAACACAAGCGATTGCTTAATATTAAAGTGCTGGGTATAGATCACTGAGCTTTACAAACTTGTGATGATTTTGCAGTGAATGTTCACTATGAAATTGTATTTTCAGCTAGCTTGGCTCAAGAGGCATTGCAGTAAATGGCTCCCCATAGCATATCATCCAAGGCTGGTAAAATTGATTTGATTTCTGAGGCAGAACATTTTGTAGCTCAGCTTTTCTCATATTGGTTAGACATGGGCTCTTCTGGAGATACTGGTCAGCATCCAACAGAGAGATAATGCTTCTAAAACAACCTGAAATGAAAGCAACTGCTAGTTTCCAGAAACAGGGAACAACAGCAGAGCTTGCAGAAGGATACAAAACTAACATGTACTGATCCTGAAGCAAGCAATTTTGCTTGGTTTATGGGTTGATTTAAGCACTGCTAGCTTGTGGCTGGTGCAACAGAAGGAGCAGGTACACAGCAGAATTAACTTGAATGCTTAACTCACCAGATTCACACTTTTTCATTCCGATGAATCACCACCATTACCAGAAACTGTTTCAGTAGTCTTCAGTCCCATCTTTTTCATTCCCTTGCTATCACCTCAGTCACTAATAGTCAGCCAGGCATTCTGTTTCTTTCCTTTTCTCCCTTCCAACTTTGCTCAATACATCATGCTTAACTAAGTTCTGTTCCAGCACATGCTTTTTGCCTTGCAAAGCACAGACCTGCTGGTACCTTGCAGAGCAGGAAAGTTAGGAGACACTGGACCTGCTGCAGCACTGTTGGTTCCTGAGCCAGTATCTGACAAACACTAACTTAAAGCCAAATTTTAGAAAGTTCAGAAGCAATGGTGATTTAACCCCTAATAGGATATGTTTAATTTATAATGCAGAATTTTGTGTCAGCAAAAGGCAGCACAATCTGTTAACCTGTTTTGTGTATTTTTTAAATGTCTAGTTATTAATTTTACAGAGTTAGGAAGATAACTGAAGAAAGGACAGGACACTGTATCAGTGGGGTGATTGTATTGTGTTGAAGAATACATACCACAATCTAATTCAAAATTAATTAACAGTAGCTAAAATATGTATAGCCATTAACTAGGAAAATGTATTTCAGAAATATATTTGCTATGTTATGGTTACATTTAAAGACCTGAGCAACCAAAGTGTGGCAGGGCTAGAAATACTGAGGGATTTATAAGAAAGTGAATTTTATGCATCCCATCTTGAGCTAGTACGTTTCAGGATAACCTTCTTTTTTGTGTGTTTTTCTCTTTGCTGTAATTATGATTAACAAGCTTGTTATTAATACCTCATATTGTGAAGATTCATAGTGAGAATGTATAGTAAATTTGTATGATTTGTATTGTAATAAAAGCAATTCAGAATTTATGCACAACGACTGTGTGGAATGAAGATCTGAGTATGATATGCATACTGAGAGCAGACTATAACTGAGAATAATATACACATAGGGGTCATCATCCACTGAAGAAAGATACCAACTTTGCTCATTAGCACAAACCACTTGCAGATTGTCATAGGGTACTCACATGCTTTCCATTATCCTTAACAGGATGAATTAGTGCTTATATGAACAAGAAGCAAGTTGGTCTATCCACTCTGGATGAGTGTGGCATGTTCTGACTCCAACAAACCATTGAATAGGTATAAGTGATAATAACAAGTATTTCCCTTCCCTTTTTCATCCCAAGCTTGTGACTCAGAGAAGACTTCATGATTTTTAAAGCCTGTTTTCTCTAACATATAAATTGTGTAGTTTGAGTACTTCTTAGGATTGCAAGCCAAGGTCAAACCATGGTTTGGAATCCTAGTTTCTAGGGGGCATTCAGATTTCAGATTCCCACACAGAAAGTAGTAATGCAATCCTTCAGAAATTTCAGTTTAATAAACCAAAAATCTTAAGGGTGTGCAAGAAGAGGAAAAGAAGGAATATTTAGCTTGTTTCTCTTTGAACAAAACCAGTATGAAGAACTAAGCAATTTGGCCATGAGCAATAATGGATGTACAACTTAGTTATCATTCATTTATTTGTAAACTGCTCAAAGTCCATGAGCTATAGGGTGGTATATAAATGTAATAAAAATAATGTACCCCAACAGATACAATTAACTGTAGTAGTCAGAAGTCCTGCATGATAACTTCAAGGACAATAAGGCCTAGCATTTTTATAATAAGCAGCAGAGCAATGCTTGAAGAATTTATGCTTTAAATTAGTAAAAGTGGAAAGAACTATCAAGTATGGTTGATAATTGATCAAAAAAGATGATTGATTACAAAGTATCTTCAGTGTTCAATCACTTACAGAAGATACTTTGTGCATGAACATGGTTGCAAACACATGTCTCCATATTATACGTTCTGATACTGGGAAGTGATCCATATACATTCAGTAAGGTTGTTAACTCACATGGATTTTTTAAATGTAGTATGATACAGAAGCTTTAACTCTGTTTCTGGCTATAATTGTTTTCATTAACTGAAGTACAACCATGAGCATAAGACCTGTTATATAAAAAACAATACCAGTTTATTTAGATGTTGGACTATTGAATGCCATATCTTTATAAGCACTAAAATTAAAGAAACAAGATACTTTAAAATTTACATTATGTATTTTGGTACATCCCAATATTTGTTGTAAAATAAATGTTAGAAATAAGCTTAGTCATTTAAAATAAAGAGAAATGTCAAATGCAATCTAGATATTCAAAATATAAGAAAAATTTCTTAGGCTAGTTGAAGTGTAAAACTAAGTATTCCAAAATACTTGCAAAACAATAATCTGTATTACTATACAAACATTTAATTTATACTCCTCCGGGTGCAACCCTATGCATATTTAAACAGAAAAAAAA